ACTGGTTTAAATGAGGAAATAATGAAGAAAAGAAGACCAGGGAAGAAAGTTACACAAACATGGCAATACAAAAAAGGGCCAATATCACAGAAGTCTGAACTAGAGAAGAAGGAGGAGCATAAGAAGGAGGAGCATAGCCAAGAGATGAGGATGAGCGCACAAGAAGAAGAACAGATTTCAGAAATAGTGCAAACACCAAAGAATAATGCAGTACAGGGATATAGTCAGCTGGAATTAAGATTGGATAACTTTCCCATACTGAAGCCTATTGCAACAAGGAATGGGTTTGAGAGTCTTATGAATGTGAAAACTGCTTCATTTTCTGTTGATAGAGGTGGAGCACCAAAGTCTTGTTGATGAAGTGGCTATTTTGGAATGTGAGGGGTATGAATAAAAGGTATAAGAAAAAGGAGATCAAAATGCTTATACAAAATAAAGTGTGTTTGGCTGGTTTAGTAGAAACTAGAGTTAAAAATAATAAGTTGAGTTCAGTTCTTAGAGGAATAGCACCAGGTTGGCAGGTGCTACACAACTATGAAGATAGTGCTAATAGCAGAATTTGGGTGATATGGGATGATAATTGGTATGAAGTCAAGAAAATTTCCAGCTCAGCTCAAATGTTGCATTGCCAGGTGAATGAAAGGAGTAAGGGATACCAGATTATGCTAACAGTAGTATATGGTCTTAATACAACTGAGCAGAGAAAGAGTTTGTGGAAAGATTTGGAAACTCTAGCACAAGGTATTACACAATCTTGGTTGATAGTAGGAGATTTTAATGCTGTAATGTATGCTAAGGATAGAATAGCTGGGGTTCCTGTTACTAGTAATGAGATAAAAGATTTTGGAGATTGTGTGAGAGACATGGGGGTTAATGAACTGCAATGGAATGGTAACTACTACACTTGGAATAATAAGCAATGTGGAGAGAGTAGAATCTCAAGTAGAATAGATAGAGCCTTTGGCAATGATGAATGGATGGATAACTGGGGGCATGTAGTGGTAGAGTATGGGAATCCAAATATTTCAGATCATAGCACTATGATGTTAACTCTGGAAAAAACTCAACAGCATGGGAAATGTAGCTTCAAATTTTTCAATGTTTGGACTGAGCATGAGAGGTTTATGGAGATTGTAGAAATTGCATGGAAAAGACATTATGATTATGATGCAATGAAGAAGGTGTGGTGTAAATTGAAGGATCTACAACATAGACTACAGCAGCTGAACAGGAAAGAATTCAAGTACATTGGGAAGAAGATTGAACAGGCTAGAATAGATGTAGCAAATGTTCAAAATCAGCTGAATGAACAAGCTACTGATGAGTTGATTATGAAGGAGAAGGAGTTATTGATCAATCTTGAAAAATGGTCCTTAATTGAAGAGAATGCTCTGAGACAAAAATCAAGGATTAAATGGATTCAACTGGGAGATGCAAATAACAAGTACTTTAGTGCAGTCATTAAAGAGAGAACTCAAAAGAAGCAAGTAAGAAGTATTATGACCTTAAGTGGTCAAATGATATATGATCCCCAGGAAATCCAAGAGGAGTTTGTGATATTTTATAAGAGTTTGATGGGGACTTCAGCAGGAAAGCTACCAGCAGTCAATGTAAAAGTGATGAAGAGAGGGCCTGCACTGACACCACAACAAAGAATTCAGTTGTGTAGAGAAGTAACTGAATAGGAAATATTTGAAGGATTGAAATCCATAGGAGATGATAAGGCACCAGGGATAGATGGATACAATGCTTATTTTTTTAAACATACTTGGAAGATAGTTAAAAGGGATGTCATTGAAGGTGTGGAAAACTTCTTCAAAATTGGGAAACTACATAAGGAGTTTAATTGTACACTAGTAACTCTCATTCCAAAAGTGCAGAATCCCAAAACAGTGAAAGAGTATAGACCAATAGCCTATCGTACAGTGATGTATAAGATCATTTCCAAGGTGCTAACTAACAGAATTCAGGGGGTGATTCAGAGCATTATATGTGAAAGTCAAGCAGGATTCATACCAGGAAGGAAGATTGCAGATAATATAGTTCTTGCTCATGAATTGGTTAAAGCATATACTAGAAAGCACATCTCTCCTAGAAGTATGTTGAAGATTGATCTGTAGAAAGCCTATGACTCAGTAGAATGGGATTACCTAGAACAAGTAATGTATGGACTTGGATTCCCTGAGATGTTTGTTAAATGGATAATGAAATGTGTTGCAACAGTCGACTACTCCATAGTTGTTAATGGACAGACTTCAAAGAGCTTTGATGCAGCTAAAGGATTGAGACAAGGAGATCCAATGTCTCCATTTTTGTTTGCTATAGCAATGGAGTATCTAAGTAGGCTACTGAAGGGACTTAGAGAAGAAAAGAAGTTCAAATATCATCCCAGGTGCTCTAAACTTAACATCACTCATCTATGTTTTGCAGATGATTTATTATTGTTTGTTAGAGGAGACTTGGATTCTGTTAAAGCTATGCAGCTATGTTTCTCACAATTCTCCCAATCTTCAGGGTTACAAGCAAATCTTAGTAAGAGCTCAATGTATTTTGAAGGGGTTGAACAAGATGTGAAGAATCAAATGGTTCAGCAGCTAGGATACAATATAGAAGAGCTACCTTTCAAATATCTGGGAGTACCTCTATCAACCAAGAAGATGACTGTGATGCAATGGTACCCACTCATAGAGAAAATAATGGCAAGAATCACTTCATGGACAGCTAGAAAGCTTTCATATGCAGGAAGGTCTCAACTAGTGCAGACAGTGCTATTTGGAGTGCAAGCTTATTGGGCTCAGCTATTCTTAATTCCAGCTAAGGTAATCAAAGTAATTGATAGTATGTGTAGAAGTTACTTGTGGTCTGGTGCTGGGAAGATAACTAGGAAAGCCTTCATAGCATGGGAGAAGGTATGTAGACCAAAAAATGAAGGAGGGATGGGGCTGATAAATATGCAAATATGGAATGGAGCTGCAATAGTCAAACTTTGTTGGGATCTGGCAAATAAGGAAGACAAGCTGTGGATCAAATGGATACATGTTTATTGTATAAGAGGACAGAATGAATGGCAGAAGAGAGAACAAGCTAGTTGGATGATCAGGAAGATAATGCAGGCTAATCAAATTGTTGATCAAGTTCACATTAATGAAGGAAAAGCGGTGATCAGGCAAATATATGATACTCTGAGAGGGGAGCAGACTAAACCAGTGTGGCAAAGCAATATGTTTAAAAATCCAGCAAGGCCTAAAGCTATATTTATATTATGGATATTCATGTATAGAAAACAGGCCACAAAGGATAGGCTTGCTAAATGGGGGATAATTCAAGAGACAGCTTGTGTATTGTGTGCAACTGAGGATGAAAGTCTGGACCACATGTTCTTGCATTGTCACTATGTAAGTGAAGTATGGAAAAGAGTACTAGCATGGGCTGGATTCAACAACAACAGAGTAAGGACATGGACACAGCTGATGCAATGGTGCATTCAACAGGGGAAGGGGAAGGATACAAGAGCTCAGCTATTCAAGATGATATTAGTTGAAATGGTGTATGCAGTTTTGAATGAGAGAAACAAGAGAATATTTGAAGATAAGAAGACTTTGATAGATGAGACAGTTAAGAAGATTGCCTTTGTAACTATTGCAAGATCTCCTATGAAAATTAGTAAGATGATTAGCCATAGAAAGATTTGAAGCTTAGGGAGTTTTGGTGTTGTTAGAGAGTTGTTTTTCTGATTAAGCATGCTGAGAATAGCTGCTTGTATTGTAAAGATTTCCGATAATTAATGATTTGGTTACCAAAAAAAAATAAAATAGTAATAATAATAATAATGATGATGATAATAATAATAAAAATAGTAATAATACTAATAACAAGAATAATATTAATAATATTATTATTAATAATAATAATATTAATATTAATAAAAATAAAAATAATAATAGTAATAAAATTAGAATAATAATAAAAATAACAATAATAGTAATAATAATAATGATAATAATAATAATAATGATAATACTAATAATAATAATAAAAATAATAATAAAAATAAAATTAGAATAATAATAAAAATAAAAATAACAACAACAACAATAATAATAATAATAACTATAATTATAATAATAATAATAATAATAATAAAAAATATTGA